ATTTGTTCAGGGTTGGAGAGAAAAGTATTTCGATTCCGAAGAATGATTTTTACTTTCTCGTGACTAGTATAAGCTAAGGTGTTAACTTACTTAATCTTACTTAGGGGTAGTGATTGTGTTCAAGGGTTGGAGAATAGTAAATCGATCCACAAGGTTCAGGTATAATTAGAACGCGAGTAGTTCGTTAGATACTATTTTAAACTTACTAAGTCTAAGATTTATCCTGGGTCTGGTAAGAGGGGGGGTCAAGTGAAGGATGAATAACCGAAGTTCTTCACTATTTATCCTAATTTGAATGATTAGTTTTGTTTAAAAATTTCTATTAGTCTTGGGTCTTTAGAAAGGGTTGGGTAGTGAATCGACGTTTGAGGTCGTTAGACACTAATTAAGTGAGTGGGGGAGAACAAAGTTGTTCTGTTTGATCCAAGGATAAGCCTTGATGATCAAATTTAAAATTTAATTAAGTAGAAAATGATTTAAGATCCAAGGATAAGCCTTGATGATCTGGTTTTAAAATTAAGTGAATTTAAGTTTTAATAAAATTTTAAATGTGTGTAAAGGAAAGATTTAGTGTTTTGATGATGTTAGTGGGTTTATGATTGCTGTTATGTTTTAGATGATGAAGCTGGAACAATAGGATGATTTATGATTACTAACCAATTATTGTCATGCTACTAATTTTTATTTTTATTTTCCAATAAATATTTTTCAAACATGTTTTGTATAATACTGCAGAGTTTTAGGAAAACGATCTAAGATCTTTTTATCAATCGTTATTGTATAATATTAATTTTGTTTAGCGCCTGAAATGATTTTGAAGAGTAACTTCAAGGTTTTATGTTTGCAAATGGAAATCTAAATTCATTGCAAGTAGTATTCGAAATATAAAAGTTTGTTCTGGCTTTTGCCGAACTATCATATAACTATACGGCAAGTTTCTACTTTGTCGTATGTCGTCTTTGGTTCGAGGTCTTCTTCCAATTCCGGGTAGTTCTGTTATGGTTCGGAATATTGGCTCTGATCTATTGAGTCGGAGAGACATTTCAATTAATTTATTGTCGTATAACATTTTGTAAATGTTTTTGTCTAATTTCTAATCTATTTTTGGTTAATTCTAATCTAGTAAGGTCTTGTTCGAGACTTATGGTCGCACCAGATGAGTTAGGACTGGTATGTATAACTCATAGAGTAATTTCGGATAGGGTACACCGTCTGCTCGTCACGCTATCTTATTTTCGGCCGGATAGATTCGTGCAACTTCTTAGTCTAATACCGATCCTAATCTTACTCTTATACTATCTAGTCTCAGGTTGTTTAACTAGTCTCTGCTAGGCTCAATAGATCTAGGGTATACTGGTTTATTGCGGCTGCTGAAGTGCTCGGGAGAGTCCAACTAATTTCTAAGTTAAATTCAAATCTCTCTGGTGCTGAAGTTACAAGTAACTTCAGCACTTACAAATAAGTGGGTTGTTAGTTAGATGGATCATGATTGGTTAATATTAAATACTTTACATTGGTAAAACATTTAATTTATCCAATCATAAAATATAGTTTAGATCAGGTTCCATAATCGATTAAAATGTAAAAGAATTTATTGTAATTTGATTTCAGAATGAGATATTATAATCGATTATTAAATGGTTAAAATCAATTTTTTCTTAATTTTATGTTCTTAGTACTAGTCGGATTGGTACTAAAATCATAATATAATCGATAATTAATGCTTGCAACTGGACGCGGGCTTTTTTCTTAGAGCTTTCCGTAATGAATATTTCAAATTAATTAAACTAAGACACCGCCTTCTACTCCCCTTATCGACATTAAGATTTAGACCAACAACCATTGGAATTTTTTAAACATTGATGTTCAGTGTAGCTAATTGTGACTTCAGATCTGAAGCATATGTTGCTGACCAGATTCAACTCAAATGCACTTGGCTTAATTGAAAGATCGGTCAGCGCTGTTGAACATAATGCAGTCTAGTTCTGCTATTTAACGATACAACTGCAAAAACCAAATGCTTACACAGCTGAAAAACCGACTCGTTATGATGATTATTATATACATTCTGTGCATTTAGTTTTAGTTTTTTTCTTTTCAAAATTAAATGCATTTTCTTTTTAGTTATTTTTTTGTCATGTTTCATTTTAAATTACTCGAATTATTTTAATCAGAACTGAAATGTCGGCTCTCAACAATAGTTTCATTGAAAATATGAGGCTTAAGAGAAATATAACTTCAGTAAGACTATATCAGAACCCAGAATCTATTTTGAAGAACTTCCCATTTAGCCGAAAAGAAAGTTCTGGTCCCAAAGTTGGGCCTTTTATGAATTCCCCTCCGAACTCGAACAGAAATAGTCCCAAGAAGAGAAATAGTCCCGAGAATGGCGGACGGTCTGCTTTGAGCTTACCCTTTGCCAGAATCAGCCAATCTTTGGTCTCAAATGAGGTCGACGAACTATCCAGACTCAAAAATCTGCTGCGCAGTGAGTTATTAAATGAAATAATAATTCTTATAAAAATTTGATCGAAATTTTTTGTAATTTCTTTTTTCTGTGAACTCGAAGAATAACTCTACTTTGCGTCACGCAAAACGCAAACTTGGTTTTTTCTTTTTCTAAATTGTCTTTTTTAAGGACCACATTAAGTGTTCATTTTATGTTGCGACCGTCTCGACCAAAAGTCGACATATTTCGCTGCTCTCGGCCGAATTCGGTATGTTTCGACTTTCTCAATCGCAAAAAAAAAATGAGCTCGATCACATGTTTTTAAAGTTTTCGAGGTGTGTTTCGACATGTTCGACCAAAAATTGACATGTTTTGACCATGCTCGGCCAAAATTTTCTTTGTTTCGATCGTGCTCGCGGTATGTACAGGTTTGTTATCGACCCAATCCTATCTCTCGACCGTTCTTTCTTTCGAGCTCTGACATCTTCTCGACTTTGAAAGACGATACATAAAGTGAGCCGGTCGACCTGGGAAGCCGCTGATTTTAGGAAAGTTGTTTCACGTTATGAGTCAATTCTATCAATGAAAACGCTCCACAAGGCATCAAAAAATTTCATTCCACTCATTTTATAAACAAAATCGCAACAAAATAACGTTATTTTGAAGAAACTATTGATGCGTAGAAACTTCAAAAAGTTTGATGTAGCTTTGATAACTTAAATCAATTTGCAAAACATAATTGTTGTTTAGCAATGAAACTTTGAAAACTTTCATGTATTGTAGATAGCTTGCTTTTGTTGGCAAAAAGGTTTTTACAAGCAAGCAATTCGTGCGCTGGGATATTGCAATGTTTCATTTTGCTTTGATAGCTTAAGTCAATGTGCAAAAAACTCAAGTTGTTCAAGCAAACTTTCCTGCAACACATATTGAATGAAGTCAGCTTTGTTTTCGATAGCTTGTTCCAACAGCTTACTTGAAAAATGTGAATCTTTTAACCTTGATTTTCAGCTTTTCGCCAAAAAAGGCTCTTTTTTTAACCGCACTTGAATTGAAAAAAAAACTAGTGAGAAAAAATTCATGCGTACACTAATAGGCACTGTCTAGTTTGACAAAAAAATGAATTGATCTTGTCCGACGTCTAAGACACTGATAGAAAAGTCTAAAAAGAGAAATTTCACATTTCTGGAACAGTCTTGCCCAGGGGCGGATCTAGGATTTTCTCGAGGGGGGGGGGCGGATTTTCAAAAAATTTTCGAAAATTTTGACGACCTTTTTTTTTTTTTTATAGGTCGGTCAGATTGACGTTCCGAGCTCTCCCAAAGCAGTAAAAAGACCCTGTTTTGGCCAAACTTTCTGCGCCGCAGGCAATTTTTTTGAAAAAACAGGTCAAAAAAGCCGTTTTTGGGCACTTTTTGGAAAATTTTGACAAGAAAAACGCATTTTTTTGGCGCGCGCTCCCCCTCAAAATTAGTATATATTGGCGCTTAAGGCGCCTTTAGAAAAATTTTAGGGTCGGTCGGCCAAAAATGGATTTCTTAAAAAGTACCAAAGGGGGGACCCTTTGGATTGGCAGGGGTTCGAATCCCTGAGGGAAAGGCGTCCGACCCCCCTGCCCCCCCCCTAAATCCGCCCCTGGTCTTGCCAAAGTAGATAGTTTTTGTAAGCGTTGTAGTTGGTAGCCCTCTGATTTTTCAAAACATGTCTTTGATTGGTTTGAAAAGAGCATGCCTCAAAAAAGTTGTTATGTATTAGAAAGATTAAGAGTAATGAATGTAGTGAAGACTCTTATATAGGTCTTGCTGATTTTTTTAAGGAAAAGTCTCAATTTCTTAAGAACTACAGATGTGCATTCATACGTATTGATGCGTTTCTGAATGCACTTAGGTGTATATGCACTTTTTGAGTTCAATTGAAATTCATCTGCTGCAAGCACTCTCCAAAAACGAACGTGGAAATGGCGCAAAAAACGTGAACGATTTCTAGTTTCGAAAGTGGAATTAATTTTTAAGATATCCCAGCGGAATAAAAACCTTACCTATTGATCCTGTTTTTTTTTCAAATTGGGTTCATATTATTAAAAAAGCGCCAATCATTAATTGTTCTAGAAATTCAAAGAGCGTAAAGGGCATCTGTTTTCATCTTTGAAATTTGAAAATTGAGATTTTTTCAAGAAAGTCAGTGCTTTTATGTTTAATTGCGTTCATAACTCTTTTTCAATCTTCGATTGGCTGTTTTGAAAGGTTTGTACTTACACACTTTTCATATTATTTTCAAATGAAAAGTTTAAAAATGAATTTGGTGTCAGAAAAAAATTGAAAGCATCTGGACAAACTGGTCAGCGTCGTAAGCAAATACCTGTAGCTACTCGTTGGTAGAGTTACTAGTTTTATTCGATCATATAGTTTACTTTGTAATCAAGTATTTTATGAGGCTTGTGATTTAGCTGGAGTTCAGTATACTGATCAATGTACTCTTATAAATAATGCAGACTATGAAATACAGAGCCTGACGTGGTGATACTTTTTCAATAGAGTTACGTTGATTGCTTCAGTTTACTGCAATCCCACTAATCAATACGCGTCATCTAACAGTGGAGGGGGAGGAGGGCAACAAGCGGACGCCACATCGGCAGACAGCGGCTACAGCCAACACACAAGTGGTCAGATTGGCACAATACAACGCCGCAGAACAACATTAAATGGTCTATCACACTCTTCCCAGTCCAAACACAGTAAAAACAACCCAAATAGTTTCAATTCCGATGCCCAAAACAACAACATCAACAACCAAAACAACAACAACAGTTTTATTAGTAGCCTGCACCACAGTTCCACAAATGAAGACTTGGTAGCCCTGGGAAAAGTAGCCAGCACTTCCCGGAACGACAGCAGCAGTCAAGTTTCCAATCAGGTGTCCTTTGGGGGGTTCTTGTCGTCACCTCAAGCTGTTCTCAATAGTGTGAACAATAGGGGCAGTAATTCCAAGTACAGAACCACCACCGACCCCTGCTACTCTTCCCCAGTGGCTAATAATGGAGGAGGAGGGGGAGGGGGAGGGGGGAGTGTGTTTGGAGCTAGTGGGGTGCACAACAGCAGCAGCTCTGGCTTCATGTCCGGAGGAGGGGGTGTGACTGGCAGCCCTCACAAGAACGGATCCGCCCAGTCGTTCACATTTTCCAGGTTCGAGCCAGTTTATTTGGTCAATCATCACTTGACCAATTTAATGCATCTAAGGTGGGCCGTCGTCTCCACTTATTCATCCAAAGAGGGTGGGTGGGGAGATTCGATGCGTTCTTCGCTCTAAGGCTCACTCAAATGTTCTTCACTGTGGCCGACTATTACACAGATTTCGACTGATTTAGTTTCGTGGTCAGCAGCGAGCAAATAATAATCCAAACTTAAAACATGCACTTCAGGTTATGTTTTACTTTTTCAAGCATATGACGCTTCCCCGCATTGGTCTGTCAGTAATAATCAGTACTGCTTCAGAGTAAAACTATAGACATTTTTTTCTAGGACTGTTCCACGAAAAACACAGTTAAACGAGAAAAAAAAAAACAGTACTGTTGTTTTTGTATCACTGTTTTTGTCCTGGAACAGTACTATAATTTTTTTAAATTTTCGAATCCTGGAGTTCCGTGGATCATAATCTATTATATTGTCATTTTATAGTCAGTATCTATCAAATAACAAATAGTAATCGATCATAATCCATCAAAAATGAATTATAATCCTAGTATTTTCTAAATCATTATGATCCCCCCACCCAGTTTACCCTTCCTCAGTTACCCCCCCCCCCCCCCCCTATCTTAGTTTAATCCCCCAAACCCCCCCCCCGTTAACGATTGCGGGGTAAAAATATGGGAGGAGGGTGGAATAAAAACTTGGTGAGAGGGTTAAAATGGTAAACAAACTGGGGGGGGGGGGGGGGGGGGGGGAGGTGTTGGTTTAAACTTTAGTAAATATGGGGGTTGGCGTAGGGATAAACGTAGGGGAGTGGGGGGAGGGGATTTGCGCAAATGCGGATTGGGTGGGGGCAAAGTGAGGGGGGAGTTTAATTTGAGTAAGTTTAGATTGCTAGTAGAGCGTGTAAGACGCAGAAATGTTGCAAGTTTTGCAGATGATTTTTCAAAAAAATGTTAAGACTATAATCCGTTATAATCAAATCTAATGGTTTTTATTAGGGTTATAATCCATTATAGTGGATTTTAATGGATTGGGTTTATACGAAAATAATCGATTGTAATGACATTATAATCGATTTCGTGGTTTAAATTTGCAACAAAAATGGATTAAATTCACACCACTTTAGACAACAATTTTCCATTATAATCTATTAGTATCCATGGAACTCCAGTGCGGGTGTCGTTACAAAAAAGATGAAGCAGGACTTAATTCACCAACCCCAGAGCTAAAAACAGCTGAAAACCGCCTAAAATTGCAGTTTTTGTGCAAAATAAAATAGAAATGACTAAACTTTGATAATCAGAAGGCTTAGGCAACTAAATTTTCCCCGGAGTTTTTGGCCCTAATTGGCCTTCAATTTGAACGTAGAAATTGTAATGTGAACATACTAGTGCTTTTTGTTATCATCAGTTTGAATTCATTCTTTCAGTGCTGTGTTTGCAAATTTTTAGCTTTTTTGCATTTTTTAGTGCTATTTTTGCTATTTTCAGTGGTGTTACAGCGCTGATTTATCTCTGTAACAACATAATGCGGACTCTGGAACAATATAAAATACAACAAGTCAGAAAATTCCATATCTGGTAGAACATACATTGAAAAACATAACATATATCGAAAAAAATATCAGGTAACTTCATATATGTGTGATTGAAAATCAGGAGAAATTGCATGTCACATGTGGTTCACATGTTTAATCAAGTAAAGTTACACCTTTATTTTAAGCTTTTTATTTAGAAACCCATGAAGTTTCAATCAACTCTTGATTCATTATAGCTGCCTAGACGGGCAACAAAACTCAGGGATAATTTTAGATTTTGAGGCACGTATAATCAAATACTATGAAGCGTTCAAATATGTTCCTAATGAAATGAAAACGTTTCAGTAATTTGGTTATTTAGTCTTTGTCTTCATATTTCAAAACATTTAGCGCAGCGCTTTGCTCTTAACCTTTAACTAAAAAACAGGTGTATAAAAAAAGCTGAAGTTGTTCTGGCAAGGACTGTTGAGATACTTTTTAGATAAAATGGGAATTTTAAAACCGGGGTTATCAATCAATTACAAGAAATAAAGATACAATTTGATGTGACGATTTTTTTTGAGTTTTGAAATGGATGCATTTTAAACTAGGTTCTCGGTTACTAAATTCAATTTTGCTTCTGTGGTACTGCTACTACAGTAACCTTGAGATATTATGTTTTTATATGCATACTTAATATTGTTATTATATTCTCAAGGGCATTATGTGCCGACCTGAAAATGTTGGAGACTGCTATTCAGTCTAACCGTACTAGTTATGGATGTTAGAAGCATACTACAGCAATAGTGAGAGAAGAATGAAGATCAGTCTAATTTAAACATTATCTCTTATCTGTTATTAGTTAAATCAGAAAGCAACACTATTAGTTATCAGATGGCGCAGCCAGCAGGATGTTTGTCTCAAGATAACAGAACTGACACGGGCATTCCTGTATTCTGGATCACCGCACAGTCTGACATGCCTTCGAACTTCAAAAATTGGTTCGATAAATTTTTATTGGCAGTTACGGTGAAGGAAAACGAAAGCCCATAGATATTGATGGACGATCCAAAACGACGGAAGGAAAAAAACCGTTTGTCCAAAAGAATCCACACAAGGAAGCATCTGAACTTGAATTTTGAGAAATGATGAGATTTGTTAGAGACCTATTCATTTCATAGATGAAGAATACGGTTCTGCTAGATACACTAATTTATGAAACATTTACGCCGGACGAAGTGCTAAAGTTCGAACAAAGCAAACAAACGAAACACTTTTTTTTAAAAAAAATTGAATGCCACGACTGCAGATGCAGGTCAGCTCAACGGGGCTCAGATAAAGATTAAAAAGGAACCTATCGTGGCTATAGGCAACAAAGGACCAAACAAAAGAAGATAATCTAGAGAACAATATAAAAGAAGAACAAATGAAACAAAACGCAACGTAAGGTCCGCAAATGGAAGGAAACGTTGACCTAGATGCGGACGCCCATTTGTGGATGGTCACTTGAAAAACTGCCCAGTTATGAGTAAGAATTGTAGGAACGTCAACAAACGCAACCACTTTGCTAAGATGTGTCGTTCACAACAAGTTATTGAAAATATCGAAAATAGTACTAGCTCAGAAGATGAGGAATGCAATGTGATTCAATCCTTCGATTCTTGCGACGATTTTGAGTTTTTGTCCATCAAATACGATTTCATATCAATTGCACAAATTGAGAAATACGTGGAGAATCGAATAGAAATTAAGCAGGCAAAACCGTCAAGCGTGACAGAAAACAGTTACGTGAAAAAGAGTGATATACGTAGAAACGATAGATCACAGCAGATAAAATCGCTGAAAGCGTCAGTCCGAATTGACAATCAAATCAAAAACATAACGATAGACACGTGTAGCCTAGTATCCTTCCCAAATTGGGCAACAGCGAAACAAATAGTGGAAGTCGCAAAGAACACGAAGTTCACACTAATGGAAAAACAAAAGCTGTAGGCGCAGTTCGTAAATTACAATAAACAACCAATTGCAATACTAGGGGCAATCACAGCAAACATCCGATAAACGGGCTGGGAGGTAATAGGAGCATCGTTTATTGTTACTGAACGCCGCGTTAGTGAACCTTTTTGACCGTCGAGTAATTTCAAAAAACTAACTAGTGAATACAACAATTGAGAGCCCTTTATGCTCAATAAGAGAAAAGGGTAGAAGGACAGCGATCCACATTCAAGAAAAAGTCCAGACCGAATTTAACAAACGTCTCAATGAAGGACACAAGTAACAGTTTAATGTACCAGCGAATGTTTAATAGCCCCAATTGTCATCACACCAAAAAAGATGACTCAATAAAATTGGCCTTGTTCGCAAAACCAATTAACAGGCAACTGTTCAAAAAGGTCCAATGTTGGCAAACTGCAGGTGGAATTAGCCAAATAGTTACAGCGAACACAAAAGGAACGTTATATTTCACAGTTCTAGTTTTAAAATACGCCTACAGTCATTTAAAGTTAACTGCCGAAACAGCAAAGCAATGCAATTTAAATTTTATAGGCGGACAGGCAACAGGTACATATAATTTTCTCGCGGGGTTTGGTGGACTGGCTGACATGCCAGCAGAGTCTTAAAAATCAATGGACCGAACAACGAATCACGCGAGGAACACGTTTGGCTTTTTGGATGATATTATGGTTGTTCCAAACGGGAATGAACAAAAACATGAAAAGTTAGTTCTGGATGTATCGAAAAGACTCGACGATGAAAATCTCGCATTAAAAATTTCCAAATACGAGTTTTTCTAAACACAAGTAAACTGTTTGGGTCATAAGTTGTCACTGAGCGGAACTACACCAAAAATAACAAAAACAGGGGCGATAATAAAACTAAATCCACCGAAATTGCTCAAACAACTCCGATTCTTTAAGGGTAGCATTAATCATCTGTCAAAATTTATCCCAAACGCAGCAAGCTTGACAGACAAACTTAGACCACTATTACTAGAATAAATTGCTTTAAAAAATGAAAAGAGACAACAACTGGTTGAAAAATTCGAATTGGGGGAAGAACTATCTGAGATATTCGAGGCATTCAAAAAAGTGGTAGCGAATAACGCCCAAACCAATTAATACAAACCATCAAATAGTACCCGTGTAAAAAGCGATGCCAGCCATAGCGGTTTAGGCGCAACTCTTGAACAAAAAGAGGAGCCTGGGAAATGGATACTGATGGCATTTGCATCACGCTACTTAAATTCCCAAGAAAAAACTACTCGACCATAGAGCTGGAATTGCTAGCAGTAGTGTGGACGGTAGAACGATTTGAACACTATCATAATAGCAACAGATGACAAGGCTTTAACGTTCGCTTTAGACCGGTCTAATAAAACGTATCAATTGCAGCAGACTAGATGGGTGGATAGGTTATTATCATATCAATTTAAGGTAGTAACACATCCCGGGTAAAATATGGTTAGAGTATATTATGT